AGATTAACTATTCAAATTGGCTCACGCCAAGAAATTGATCAAAAGAATTTATTTCATAAGATAGAGCATAAAGACAACGCGCAAGCTGTCTGTAAATACATAAAATGGAAATAAAAAGGAAGACGGAGTAATCAGTCACATCAATTGGAATTGGATGAATGTAACTAGAGAATTCAACCAAATACCAAAACTCAAGAAATCGGTTTATTTACTAATTTGGACGGTCAGCTGGAATTGAGCATGGACTCTACCTATCAACGGAGCTGTGATCTGTGGGTGCGTTACATAATAGTGTGGCTACACACCAATCAAAATCTGTAAGCAGAAAATTACCAACACTTGGATAGCAAGTTTTCTTATCTGCGAGTCCCTTAACATGGTTGTGTTCATTAAATGTTAGAAGATGGGATCAAACATATGATAACGAGGTTTATGAATGTAAGCCGACTGTAATTGACGAAAGGTAATTTACGCACTTACCTAAGTATCATAGTTGTTTTTCGGAAAAAAATACACCTACTTGCCTCAACAACTAGCTTACCAGGTTACATCTCGAAGAGACTTCGAAACAGCCGCTGCATAGACACTGAGGTCACCATACATGTAAATTGAAATGATAAGATAAAATGCCAGAGCCCAGATTCTGCCAGCGAATTTTTGAACAATTTCACCCTAAACCAAAAGGCAGATTAAAAGTACGAAAACAGCAGTTGTCGTACCAATTCATACTTGTGATCAATTTCGAAGTCTTCTGCCTTGATCGACATGGTAGTTGTCAAGGGTTCTTCCTCGTCCGCATCTTCTCCCACCTCTTCAGACACTTTCAAAGCATTACGGATAGCCATAGCCTCGATAACAAATGTGGCGGGAACAAAACTACATTTGAAGGCCAACTTATCCTAAAGGCCTAGTCCTACCTCATAAAAGCAAAGAATGCAAGCAGAATCCCGGTAGTTAGCCACCCGGCATCCTTAAATGCCTTGGGCAAAGCAAGTGCCCCAGTACCGAGGATCAAGTTGAATAAGAATATAAAGCCGGACTACAGGCATTAGAATAGCATTCGACCTTACCAACCGAGAGTAAGTTCGTGTGTGATTCTGCAAATGTGCCATGGCACCAAAATCACTCTGGCGAAAAAGCCACACACAAATCGATAAGGGCGCTCGAATTCAACACCAGTACTTCCGTCTCTGATGTCGAGATGCCCTTAATTACACGAGACACTCCGCAGTTACCTGACTTGTTCGAAGCGTTTACAAAAAGCGTTACTAAACAAAATCATTACGAGATCAATTAGTACACTAGATTAAGAGGGAAAAACACTTCAAAACAGGTGCTATAGCTTTTAATCATCACAACGGATTTAGGAAGCCAAATTCACAAATCAATAAGGACGGTAAACACACAAGATAAAATGTCTAAAGGGCCACAATTACAGTGCCCCCCATTTTTTCGCTAATTACAAGGCATCTGAATCTACAAGCAAATTTCGAGAAAAACCCAGATTAGTCAAAACCAATTAATGGTCATGATTAAATCAATCAATAAAAGTGAGTTTTAATATAAAAAAACTCCGTTAGTGGTGAATCAAGCCAAGACCAACACAGACAACAGCTTTAATTGAGGGGCAAATCCCTTACAGCAGCAAAGCATAACAATAGACTATCAAACGTTTAACTAAGATTAAGAGTGCCGAAACACAATACAACAGACGGGCAACTACGAAAAACACCAACATGGGTATAACGTACACTACACCGACTGATAATCGACTAGTTTATCGTCAGTAACTAAACCGTGCAACCAATTCCGCAAAAAAATTATCGCGAGCAATTAACTAATTTCACTAATCCACCTTACATCCCAGTAAATACCCAAACAACTGTCACAGTCCACCATTTCTGTGGTCTAAGGCCTCATAGCAACATCCTCATGCACACATTTTCATTGATCTGCGTTCCAATGTACATATTTACTTCCCTGTCAAATACTTCTTGCATTCCAAATATCAATCAACGTGTTTGCGTTAAAAGACCTCGCCCAAAATACAACAACATCACTGCAGTCCAATGATTATCATATGCATTCAACAAATCTCCGTCAACCTTATGCATAAGCACTTCGAACAAACCTCAAAACTACGAACCCTAACAATCTTAAGTCACGCGCCGACAAAACAGCGAATGTAAATATGCCCTTATCAGTTACATTCCTAACTACGTGCATGTCGAATAGAAATCAACTTCGATTCTAATTGAAGGCTTTTACTATCTTATCAAGTAATCGAAATTTATCCAATTTGAATAGGCATCATGACAACAATTAATTACCTTTTAAATAATGCTGGCAAAATCAATGCCCAGCATATTGTGAGGTGGTTTACTCAACACAGCATATTCTAAGTAATTGATTAAGGTTGCAAAATAGCGACGCGTATAATTGAAGAAATATTTTAAAAAATCTATTATAACCATAACCGTTTACGACTTGGTCGTGTTGCTGACGCTACCAAATTACCCATATAGCTCACTTAATTCTGTAATCAAATACTGAAACAACTTGCGTTTTATCGAAGGATCAAGATATGCTAAAAGGGCAGATTTTATTATTTAATTTTTTAATTTAGCTTTGAGGTCATTCAAGTGCGTTATTACATAGATAACAAAATTCTTGATTTATCATATTATTGGACAAATGCCACAAGTTTAAATATTCGGAATGAAATCCAATGCAGTTTTTAATGTTTGATTTCATTCCAAATCATCACTCAAATTACAGATATTCAATTCTCTATTCATTGATAATTTGGTCATTTTGGGCGCCTAGCGCTTTTGTTTTTTTCCAAAAAGTCGTTGACTGTCGACTAGTTTACACATCGCCTGTATATTTACAATAACCCTTCTTTTTGTAAGAACATAATCCTTATACTTATTTGCACTCATTGTTTACGGAGGTCCTCTAAACGAAATCAAACTATGTGGTTAAAAAATTAACAATTATTAATGACTACATTGAGACGTGGCCAACCCAAAAAACAACGACGGACATTGGATATTTCCAATATCTTAGAAACCTAGACAAACCCCGTAAGCATGTTGGTTTTTGCAGCTGTAAGCAATTGTTTTTTTTGCGATAGCAGATTTACTCTTTTGCTTTTCACATAGTCTTTGCCAGCCATACCAGCAGAAACGTATTATGCCCATTTGATTTACCGTCAATTTTTTTTTGTAATCCAATGTCGAAAATTTAAAATGCTCTGTGCAATCAGTGGTCCCTGTTGGATAATATTCGACAATATCCATGTATATTCAAGCACGTTTCGTGAACATTATAATGCTAAGTATATTTAAACTACATTATTTTCAGGTACACATCCATTGTCCATCAATTATTTTAGCTTTGCTCAAAAATAAGCATTAATTAAAATTATTGCCGCTTAGAATGATTTATGAAATATGGTTTATTGTCCTTTTCTCTAAAGCTTCTCTGGCACCACCTCATTCTGAAATTTTGTCATGTTTGACTATTCATTTGACCTATTCACTTTATACTCGACTGCAGTTGTCACTAAAAATTGGAAAGTGTTCATCTCTCTTGAAATCATGCAAGGGGTAAACCTACCAACTTTGGCCAATTTATCATGGCAAAAGTGGAAGCCACCAAGTCTCTCATGCCTCCATTCACCGATGTTAACACCACCTTCACAATTCAACAAAAGATTTTCGGCTAATTTTGATAAGTGGATGAGGCATGTGCATGGCTTTTGTCAACACATGCATGGATATTCACACCAAATGTTCTGAGTGCATTCTGAATGCAGCGAGTTTAATGCAAATGGCCGAAGCAATCTTCACCTACGTTGCTTTGAATCAACGTCAAAAGTTACGATTTACAACCAATCAAATCGGCAGGTAGTATAGGATTGGCATGGCCTAATTACATTGCCTCATTTGAAAGACGGATTTTGACCTAATCATTTCTAAATGCTAATTTTTAATTCGTTGTGTTTATTTGGTTGATCCATTAAAGGGAACTAAGATTTCTCTATGACCTCGTGTGGATTTTTAAAAAAATTCTATTAACTTTTCACAATTTTTTACTTGTATTTAAGTAAGCATTATTTCTACAAATTGTGAAACTGTCTCACAGTAGTTTGAAATTACTCTTTCTGCCTTAACCCTACTTCGATATTATCTCTAGGCTGGTGCTAATGCTTCCAATTGCCCCAATATCGATGACTGGTCTCGCCTAGCAGTCACGCCATAGCCGATTAATAACTGGATAAACTGGATACGATGTTTTAAGTGATCAAAAATTTTCTGTGCTGGACTGGTAACAAGCGCTAAGAAAAATGTGCTACTCTTCCATGAGCAAATGCGAGACAACCTACTCAGAGGCACCAAAATATCCCAATTTTTCTAAACGGCATTTATCTGGCTGAGGGAAACCCACCTCTATTTTCTACTAGTGGGGTTTCCACGAATATTTGAAATGGCACATCTGTAATTTTTTTCTATTAACCGACCCAAACATTCTATACGAAGACCTGAAACATGCATAGCCTGGACATTCCGAGTAGTCTTCCGCCCAGAATAAAGCCTAAATTTGATCTTACTATTGCCTTACTTGCATATAGAAAATACTTTGCAATTTCAGGCTATGGTTAGTGTTACAAATTCTTTATGCGGGGTCAATAAAGCCTCCCACTAGGGAGGACGTAGCACATGTATATGGCACTCGTAACATATTTACTAAGAGACTTTGGAGTACATGTGAGACCATTCAGTCACACCGGCAAATTTTGATCTAGTCCCTCCCTCTTTCCAATCCCTCAATGTGGTTTGATCATCGAGCCCACAAAATGCTTTCCATTATAACTTATATGAAAGCCTTACGTCAGCGGACTATCGAAAATTCAGAAGTGTGGTACACAGGTTAGATTCACTTTGCTAAAACAATTCTGAGGTTCGTTGGTGATGATTTTATTGAAAATATTAAGGTTATCTAATAGGCTGCACGCCGCGTCCCCACAACGCCAGCATCATTGAGCTAAATTAGAAGATTCTAAGGCATCAAGCTGGTGAGGTACTCCAACAATGTTAATTTGAACCACCAGCCAATGTCCATTCAATTTATCTTATTTTTTTAGGTAAAGTACTTGGCATGACTGATGCTAATAGATTTGTGAAATTCGGTTGGTTTGGAAGCCATATTCCACCAAATCTATCTCCCATAATAGATAGCTACTCAAACAAAAACATGTGGTAAGCCGATTAAATATTTTCTACTCGCTTAAATCGACGTTTTTTGGGTAACACATTGGTAGGATACTTTGGAATGAGGCGGTTCGGAGCACACGAGGGGAAATAGGAACATTATTCTCGCTAGAAAAGATCCTATTTACTTTAGTCAACTTCAAAAAATTATATCGACCTTCGCGTATCGCAAAATACACCAGAAATTAGAGTGCACCGTCACATCTTATACCTGATCAGTTTTTTGAATGTGAAGAAATGAGAGAAAAAATCAGAAAAAATCAATGACAACGCAAAACTGTAAGATGTCATGTTAATTTCTCAAACCATTCAAGTTCCGAGGACACACGATAGCATAATATTATAGCCACACACAACCACACTACTGTCAGAAGTAAAATGGCCATAAAGGTTTACCTAATACCACCGATATAAATCGTCGAATGACTTATTTGCCTTTTCATTCATCTGGCATTGTCTGCCAACACAAATAATTTCCCGGCAATTGCTGCCTCTGACTGCTATGTAATCAGGTTTCTACATATTGCCTTTTGAGATGTACTGTCAGAAACACGCCATGGATTTTATTAACTGACTTACTGTTGATATTTTGATAGATCCATCATAGCTTAAGCAGCATTTAAAATTGAAAGAAGCTAATTTACTGAAACCAACGCCTTGATTGTTAAACAAAATCTTGCGGTTTCGTGAATCAAGCCATGGTTGATAGTTGGAAGGTAAACACTAACCTTTCTGCCGCGATCTACCTACCAATTACAAAATCAACTACAATACCGTTTAAATTCTCATTGTGCAGGTATGGGCATGGCAAATTTTGCCATGATTCTACGACACTTACTTGCATTAGAATTTAATTTGCCGATTCCTTAACTTGAATTTACTTACACGCAACAGGAAAGTTGTATATTGGCAAGATGCCAAAAATGATGAAGCGATCTAGTCAACCCCACTTGGAAATCCGGTACATTCTTAGCAGAATATACAAGAAAACTTCAAACGTTATGAAGCCCGAGAGGAGGAGACCTAGTAACAACCATGTACTTCCTGTTACCGTGGCATAAATATCCCCTAGACGCTTTTGCAAGCACGAGTAGTCTTCGAAATTTTGCAGAGCATTTTTACTTTTCAGGCACTCGGCAACAAAGTCGGCTTGATGAAACACACCGCAGCACTGTCTTGGAGCCCAGTGCTTGGGAAAAAATCCAGCAACTAAGGGGCTTTGCATAGCTTTCCAGGTCGCACAGCACACTGACCTCTTCTGGTGGATGTGGCTAACGAAGGCCCCCTCGTGGTAGCGCGTCGTTGAATTCCAGTCCGATTTGTATAATTCAATGAGGAGGTCTAAATTCGACCTAATGTAGGTAACCGCCATTGCCTCGACCATAAGAAAGGCGAGTGAAGATAGAATACATGCGAAAATGACAAGACGGAGTTTTTGGTTAAAGAAGAGAGGAAAATGAAGCACCGCCGCGCTGCTTGCACAGACCTTTAGAAGTTGCAACATCTTTTCCAGGTGTCCATGATTGGGTCCAAGTGGGGTCTCAGGCAGGTGGACGCAAAATTTTTTGTGTAGAAATATGCCCGAAACGGCGTGACCCACGCATGAGAAGAAAAAAAAGGCCATGATTGAAAATGGAAATATTTTATGCATCATCTCACCACAAGACGAACAATTGATAAGAGCTGATGCAATGAACTAGGAAGTTTAAAGACGGAAAATCGATTTTGCAAAAGACTGTCTATATTGACGCCACCGTGAGCAAATGAGACAACGCACGGTTTTCATTCAGCTTCAAAGTGACTCCGATAGTGATAAGCGTAAAAATATTGAACTTGCACAATGTCTCCCCATGCTTCCAAAAACAAATTCACACAAAGGTTTAACCAGAAATATTTCGCAAAATGTCACAGGTTTACGGGCCCACCTACCTACCTCATCTGTCTATCGTGTGTTACAGTTTTCAACGCTGGCTCTGGCGTGAACTGCTCATTTCTACCACGTG